TGAGTTGTTTTGTTCTTGTTAAGTGCCATCGAGTCGACTTCAACTCATAGCAACCCTGTATAGGGTTTCCAAGGAACAGCTGGTGGTTTGAATTGCCAGCTTTGTGGTTCACAGTCCAGTGCAGATCCTACGGCGCCACACCAGGAGTCCAAGCTAATAAGATATACAGAACTCTAAGACCAGGACTGGTTAGTTTTGCCATCAAGTTGGGTTTAACAGGAGCCATCTCAGAAGCAAGAAGGAACAATCCCAGTACCATCAAGAAAGAAGAACATGAATAGAGTGTGAGATTCCTATCTAGAAAAGGTGTGAGACCCTACCTAGAAAAGCAGGGACAGCAGAGGCAGTGACATGGAGCAGTTGTAGGTATCTAGGCCCCTGGACTGAGTAGAGATGTGTGCTTATGGCAGGAGGCTGACTTGCAGAATGTGCCCTTTGAACATTCATAGACTGCCAAAAGGAGCTTGGTAACAGTTGCCTGGGTAGGGCAGAGGCCTCGAGTCCACATGGCTTAGAGGCCAACGACAAGAATGAGGCGTACCTGACCGCAGAACTGCTGCATCCTGAGTTGTTTCTGAACTGTACCGTGTAGTATAATTCAGAAACAACTCAGGTGAATTTCACTCTGTAGTACAATTCAGAAACAACTTAACTGAATTTGTACCCTGTAGTACAGTTCAGAAACAACTCAGGATACTGCAGTTTCCCAGTCAGAAACACCTCTTCTCTGTCGTACTACAGACACGCCTCATTCTTGTCTTTGGCAGTCTGCCTCATTCTTGTCTTTGGCATCTTAGCCATGTGGACCCTTGACCTCTGCCCTGTTTGGGCAAATGTTACAAAGCTTTTAGCCAGTCTGTGAATGCCAAACAGGCACATTCTATAAGCCATACTACTGCATATAGGTACTCAGCTTTACTCAGTCCATGCCACTGCTTCTGCCATTGCCTTTGCTATCACCACTTTTTTAGGTGGGGATCTCACTCTCCATGCATGCTCTTCATTCTTGATGGTCCTGTTTCTGTTTTAAACCTAGCTGGATAGCAAAACTAACCAATCCCAGCCTTAGAGCCCCATACATTGTATTTGCGTGTTCCCAACTAATCTCTTGGTAGGAATTAAGAAGACATTGGTGAGAAAAGCCATATCAAATAAATTCAGTAGACCACAGTTATTGACAATGTACATAGCAAAACATGTACTAATTCAATAATTTGTACATATACAATTCTTTTTAGCTTTCTTTTTTTTATTATTATTGTGAATTCTGTAAAGGTTTACATAGCAGATCATCAGCTTTGCATTCTCTACATGTACAATTTTTTAAAAAAAACTTTTTATTGTGAATTGAGTGAAGGTTCACAGAACAGATCATCAGCCCCATATTCCACAAATTGTACACTTCATATCATTACAGTGATTGCAGTCCACTCCATCTGCAGTACAATTCCTTGAAATTGGGTACATTCTTCAAGTTGTACAAACATTTTTATCCTTCTTTTATGAATTGTTCCTCCACTATTAATATGAACTTACTACTTGTTGCCCCCAAGTTTTTATCTAACGTTTCAAGTTGCTGTTGCCAGTTTGATTCCTGAGAGAATGTTCTTTGAAAAAGCATAACGCTCAAGACAGACACTCTTAACTGATAAAGCTAAACTGCTGTTTGGTTTCAGGAAGGCTTCAGGGGATATATTTATAAGGCTTAAAGATTTACTCAAGGCAGTAGTTCCAAAAGTTCATCTAGCCTCTGCGACTCCATAAATCTAGATCCCACGAGAATTTGCAACTGTTATCCACTGGTCTTTTCCCTTTGATCAGTAGTTTTCTGTGGAAGCTTTGATCAAAACATTGAGTAATGGTAAGTACTAGCTTTTGATGACTACGTGTTGTTGTTGTTCAGTGCCTTTGAGTCAGTTCAGACTCACAATGACCCTGTATAGGATTTCTAAGGAGTGGCTGGTGGATTTGAACCACATACTTTGCAGTTAGCAGTCCAGTGCTTATCCTACAATGCATAATATCAGTTTATTTTACAGCCTATAAAGCTTTAATGCATCATTTTTTAAAGTTTTAACTTTACTTTCATTGTACTCATAATTATTTTTATAAAAGCAATACTCACTTGTGATAGTGATTTTGGAATTGGGTAACGAGTAGAGACTGAAAGGGTTTTAAGGTGCCTAATAGCAAAAGCCTAAATAGCCTTGAGGAGACTATTGGAATTACGGATATTTAAGGAAATGTCTACTGTGTACCTGTCCCACCAGTGTGCTCTGGAAGCAGATGACTCCTGTTCTAGATTTCACAGGTTCCCAGATGAAGAGGGATTTTTCCTCAAGGTGGAATTTGTGCTGGAAATCAATTTGATATGTTGGGTTGAAAATGTTTTGCGTGTGGCAAGGACCTGAATTCTTAAGGGACCAATAGGTAGAATGACATCGATTGAAGTGTGTTCCTGTAAAATATGTATCAGGACTTCTGGTGTTGTGCTGTAGGATCAGGACTGTACTGCACACCACAAAATCAGTAGTTCAAACCCTCCAGCTGCTCCTCAGAAACCCTATGAGGTTCGCTATGAGTCAGAAGCAAATTGATGGCACTTAAAACAATGACAACAAAATATATACCAACTTTATTAGTCCATGATTCTCAATGGTTTGGCAGATGTGTAATGATGTAATATGGCAGGTACTTAATATGGCAGTTACGTAATGATGTACTCACCCCCTATCATGTGCTAAAATAGTCAGTTGTAAGAGGATTAGAGTGGGATGCAACACCCTTACTTGGGCCACAGCCCTGATCTGATGTAAGGGGACTTTTCCTGAGATGTGGCCTGCATCACCTTTTATCTCATAAACAAAAGGAGAGAGAAGTAAGCAGAGAAGGAGGGCCTTCCATACCACCAAGAAGAGTCAGGAGCAGGGTATGTCCTTCAGACCCAGGGTTTTTACACTCATGGGAAGGAAGATTGATATCAATACACATGGAGATTGTCAAGGAAAGCAGGGCCCACAGAACCTTTCCCCAGAGCTGAGAGAGAGCCTTCCCCTAATGCAGGCTTCCTGAATTCGAACTTGTATTGTTAGCTGCCTGAACTGTGAGAAAACACATTTCTGTTTTGCAAAACCATCTACTTGGGCTATTTCTGTTAGAGCAGCACTTGATAAGACAATTTAAGTTTAACATTTTGTTAATGCAGATATCAAAAGGAAAAGAAAAATGATCTGTACACCTACTATTCAGATATATCCTCTTTTAACATGTTGGTGTATATTCTAGTCTTTTTATGTACATAAATACTTCTTTTGTAAAAATTAATAATCATACTTTTTACAAAAAACCTTTACTGTGAATTGGATGAAAGTTTGGAGTGTGTGCTCTGTTTTTAAACTGTTTTTATCTGTTTTTAAGTAGATCATAAAAATATCCTCATGCCATTGTTTATATCTTTCTATAAAAGCCCTATACAGGGTCGCTATGGGTCGGAATCGACTCGATGGTGCTTAACAACAACAGTAGTATAATTTTTAAGGATTTTAATTGTAAGTTATTCAGTTCCATGTGTATACCATAATTACTTAACTACTTTTTTTTTTTATTATGAAACATTTATTTTCCAAAATTTCACTACTAGTGTCATTAGGATTATTGCAATTATAATGCTTATTCATACAATTAGAAAATTTTAATTTATAAAAAAGACCATAGATATTGTAGAAACATACATGAAGATTGAGTCTCAAAGAAATTGATATGTCAAAAATTTCAGAGGTTGTTGTTGTTAAGTGGCGTCAAATCAGTTCTGATTCATAGCGACCCTGTATTGGGTTTCTGAGGGTTTGAGCTGTTGACCTTGTGGTTCACAGTTCAGTGCTTGTCCTACAGATCCACACCAAGATTAGATGAACTCTTTTTCTACTACATTACATGCTGGTTTGTTTTAGTTAAAGCTTCTTATCCATGGAGAAATTACAATTTGGTCAAGAGAAGTTGAATTTCTTATTATCGCAGTTTTATTAACCAGAGTACACCTTCTTTTTCATTTATACTGATCATTTTTTGTTTGTTTTAAGCACCAAAATAAAACTACCAATTACAATTTTATAATACAGATATCCCACATTAATAATATTTTTGAATGATTATTTTAGTTACACAATGTTTTTGTTGTTGTTAAGTGTTGTCGAATGAATTCCAACTCATAGCGACCACATATAGGATTTCCGAAGCTGTAAATCTTTGTGGAAACATAAACTTCATCTTATTCTTGCTGAGCGGCTGATGGGCTCAAACTGCCAACCTTGTGACTTATAGCCAGTTGCTTATCTTACAGAGCTAAAGCATTCCCTTTTACACATAATAGAGTTTTTACTGATTTCTTCTTTTTTTTTTTTTTTTTGAGAATGTATACGACAAAACATAAAACAATTCAGTGTTTCCTACGTGTACAGTTTAATGACAATGACTACATTCTTGGAGATGTGCATCCATCCTTTCTGAGTTGTTCTTCCCTCATTTACATAAACTCATTGCCCGTAAGGTCCCTGTCTGATCTTCAAGTTGCAGTTAACATTTTGATTTCGTAAAGATTGTTCTTTAAAAGGTGCAGTGCTCAAAGCTGATCTTGTTTATTTGTTGAGCTTCATATGTTCTTTTATTTACTGAACTGTGTAGGCATTGTGGTTAAGATTATCACAGGGCTTGTTTGATATTTTTTAAATCATAGGAGCAAAATAGCATAGCTTTTTATAAGATTGTTGCTAAATGCCATTGAGTTGGTTCCGACCCATAGCCACCCTGTATAGGGTTTCCAAGGAGCAGCTGGTGAGCTTGAACCGCCGACCTTGCATTTCAAATGGCTTTGCAGTCTTGCTTGTTAACCCACAGTGCCACACCAGGACAAATAGATCAATTTAAACTGAACTATTTATGGAATGGGGTCCTGGTATAGTGCTGCAGAATAATGTACTGGACCACAAGGTCAGTTTGGACTGCAAGGTCGGGAACCCTTTATGGGGTCGCTATGAGTCAGAACCGACTCAGCAGCACTTACCAACAACAGCAACATTTATGAAACATAAAATCACTATTGTGTTGCTAAGTCAGTATATAAATTTAGATTGATCAGTTATATTCCTCAGGTAATCTGTATTTAATGTATGTTTCCAATAGGTTCATTCCAGCCAACAAATGAAATGATGCTCAAGTTCTATAGCTTCTATAAGCAGGCGACAGAAGGACCCTGTAAACTGTCACGGCCTGGATTCTGGGATCCTATTGGAAGATATAAATGGTAATTTAATATAGAGAGTTACTGAAGAATGTTTATTTTGATGGTATTATTGTAAGGCTATTATTTATATGATATATTATTCTGTACACAAAGTGTCCTAAGTCATGGATGCAATTTTTATCCTTTAGGTGATCTGAACACAATTTCATACAGAAAATCTTGGGCAATAGAAGAAAATAATAAAACCAAAGATAAAAAGCATTTTTAGTCTTTTCCTTTATGAATTTCTTTCCTTTTATATATGAAAAGAATCCCAAATTAAGGTAACAAACTCACTTGCCTCTTTCATCTGTCCAGTAAATAATGATTTTTTTTTTAAATAATGATTTTTGATTGTCAGGTGACATTGTTTGCTTTAAACATTCCATTAATAAGTAACTAGCAACATGACTGAGCCAGTGGCATCAGTAGGAGAGTGCATCAGGTGACAGTGTCAGAGGGGTGACACCAAAAACACTGTCTGTAAAATTCCTGTGCAGTTTCAGCAGAAATGTTTTATTTTTTATAAAAATATCCATAGGGTTATTTATAGCAAAAAACACATGTAAGGAGCCCGGTTGCACTGTAGGATAAGCATTGGATTGCTAACCTCAAGGTCAACAGTTCAAAACCACCAGCAGCTCTGAAGAAGAAAGATGAGGCTATTTGTTCCTTTGTAAAGATTTACAGCCTCAGAAACCCTATACAGTGTCACTATGAGTCGGAATTGACTTGGTGCCAGTGGGTTTGGGTTTAGCTTACACATACCAGTGTACCTGGTGTGGCCCTGCAGGATAATGTAAGATCAGTTTGAGTCACAAGGTGGCAACCAGCCTCTCTTTGGAAATCCTATACAGAGTTGCTATGAGTTGGAATTGGCGCAACAGCACTTAAGAACATCAGTGTACCTACAAGGCTAAGAAAAGCCTTGGTGTGGTGATGTAGGATAAGTACTGGACCCCAAAGTCAGTTTGAACCTCAAGGTTAGTGGTTCAAACTCACCATCCACTCCTTGGAAACCCTATGCAGCGTCTCTATGAGTTGGCACTTTACAATAACAAGAAGACTAAAACTCTATGCTAATTTGCTTTTTAAACCTCCTAATGAGCTGCCCAGGAGCTCTGGTAGTGTAGTGGTTATGAATTGGGCTGCGAACCTTAAGGTCAGCAGTTCGAAACTACCAGCTGTTCCATGGAAGAAAGATGAGGCGTTCTGCTCCCATAAAGATTTACATCCTCAGAAACCCTGTACAGGGTTGCTATGAGTCGGAACTGACTCCACAGCATATAATTACTACCACCACCACCAATGAGCTGTACTGGTGTGGCACTGTGGGTTAATGCGCTGGACTGCAAGGTTGTTTGAACCGCAACGTTGACAACTCAAGTTCACCAGCCACTCCTCAGAAACCCTATACAGGGTTGCTATGGGTCAGAACCAACTGGATGGCACTTAAAAACAATAACAACATTGTGGTAATTAGTATTTGTAAGCCTCTTATCAGTCAATCTGTTGAAAATGCAGTAGTAATTAAAAGAAAAGAAAAATAAAATGTTTCCACTCAGTTACTGATAAAGTTGTATCTAAAAATGTTGTGATTCAACATATAAAGATTTTGCAAAACTGTTTTATTCTTAGTATTAATATAATCTAAGAGATGTTGTTGTTAAGTGCTGTCAAGTTGGTTTTGTCTCATAGTGACTGTGTATAGGGTTTCTGAGGAGCAGCTGGTGGGTTTGAACTGCCGACCTTGTGGTTCACAGTCTAGTACTGATCCTCAGTGCCACACCAGAAATATTACACTTACGTAAATTTACTACTGTATTTATCATGTAATTCTCTGATTAAAATTGATAATAAACATTGCTAAGGATCCTATATGGTTTAGTATGGGAGAAAGGCCTACAGGGGCAGGTAGCCACCGTGAGTAATTGCACTGGGTGACACCAATCCAGTAATGCCAGTGGATTGAGGTACTGCAGTATAAACTTTTAATCTAAGATTTACTCCTGGCCCATTGTACTTGAATAGAAAAACGAATTTGATTTTCCGTACATTTAAAATAATCATAAACTGTCCAGAGACACTCTGTCATTTTTCTAATTTTTGTTGTTTGCTGTCAAGTCAGTTCCAACTCATAGTGACCCTGTAGGACAGAGAAGAGCTGCCCCATTTAGTTTTTCAGGATATAATCCTATGGGAGCAGATCCACAGGTCTTTTTACCCCTGCTGAGCCCCACTGGGTGAATTCAAACTGCCAACCTTTTGGTTATTAGCTGAGCACTTAACTGTTGCACCTTCCTTTTCAATGATGAACATATAACACTTGTAAATACTATGGCAAACTTTACCTCAATTGTAATGAAAGTAAAAATCGTAGCAACTGAACTAATAAACAGCATTATGATAAACAGAAAAGATTGAAATTGTCAAAGATTTTATTCTACTTGGATCTACATTCAATGCCCATGGAAGCAGCAGTCTTGAGAAATCAACCTACACATTACATTAGGCAAATGTGTTGCAAAAGAGCTCTAAAGTTTTAAATAACAAAGATGTCACTTTGAAGACTAAGGTGTACCTGACCCAAGTCATGGTATATTGAATTGCTTCATATGAATGTGAAAACAGGACAATGAGTAAAGAAGACTAGAGAAGGATTAATGCATTTGGATTATGTTGTTAGTAAAGATAACTGAATTTACTGCCAGAAGAACAAACAAATCTGTCCTGGAAGAAGCATGACTGGGATGTTACTTAGATGTGAGGATGGCCAGACTTTGGACATGCTTTGAGGAGAGGGACCAGCCACTGGAGAAGAACATCATGCTTGGTAAAGTACAAGGTCAACAAAAAGAGGAAGACCCTCTAGAAGATGGATTGGCACAGTGGCTGGGACAATGAGATCAAACATAACAATTGTGAGAAGAATGTAGGACCAGGCAGTATTTCATTCTTTTTTGAACCAACTCAATAACATATAACAACAACCACACTGCAGACTTTACAAATGTTTGACAAAAATCAGTTTTAGAGTTTACTTTATGAGCAGAATTTGCTAATTGGTAACACTTTTCCAATCTGATGATACATTTTTTCACCATTGCTTTGGAAGTGCCATCAAATATTTAAAGATGCCTTACTACGGCTACTCTCGAAAGTCTTTAAAAATAGTCATAAAGTAATAGGCTAAATAAAATAACAATGTTATTTAATCTGTCAGTTTTAAGGAAATTTACTTACTTTATTTTCTTAAAAATTTAACTTGGGCAGAATTAAACTGCTTTTGAGAAAAACACGTAAAATGAGACATTTTGATGTTAGGCAGAAATTTCAAATGACTGATGTTATTTTCTGGAGTCCCTAAGTGGTACAAATAGTTAATGTGCTCTACTACTAACCTAAAGATCTGTGCTTGAGGTCCACCCAGGGGTATCTTGAAAGACTTGATGATCTACTTCTGGAAAATCTGATTTAAGTATAGCCCCATTAATTTAAAAATTAATGACCAAGTATAGGTTGTATTGTGTTATTGAAAATCATGTGTGACTTTATCATTATTTGGATGCTTTCATTTCTAGGGATGCTTGGAGTTCATTGGGTGACATGACCAAAGAGGAAGCCATGATTGCGTATGTTGAAGAAATGAAAAAGGTGGGGGAAATAATTCACAGTTGAAAAAAATTTTAGAGACGTTCAAATATAATTTTTTTGTCAGAACAATTAGCTGCTTTGTTTTAAGGAACACAGAAGATTGTAGTTTGTTATATAATCTGGATTATTGAATTTATTAGGACTTGACCTGTTTCATCTTAGTTTCTCTGAGGATGCTTTTTTCAAGATTTATCATATTCTGGTGATAGGAGTTTTTGTTTCTGTACTTTTTCTCTGTTGTCGACTTGAAGAGAAAGTATAGGAATAGAAATCGTTTAAAATACTGCTGTCCCTTCCTGAGAAGTCTGGGAAGTACCTGCACTGTCTTCAAAATATTCCTGTTTGGAACTTTTATTTAAGAAAAATAGTTAACAAGGCTACTATACAATCATCTCCTTTAAGATTTGACTCATATATCTAGATACTCCATCTTTTAACTTCTCAGTATCAAGCATTTTTTTCCGTGAATATGTAAATCCTTCAGAAGAGAAGAAAAGGAGCATATATTTCTGTCAACTACAAAAGTTGGACATTTCTTGTGAACTAGCTCTTTTAAGCCTGTCCAAGGGATTGTTTTGATCAGACTTTATTTTAAATACACAAATAGAGCACATGGTTTGCCAATTCAATTTTTTCTCAGATGTACCATTTAGTGATACCAAATTACATTAATCTTTTGTGCTACTGCCACCCATAATCTGTGTCACATTTCCCAGCATCATAAACATATACCTACTAAATAAAAACTCTCTGTTCCTTCCTCTCTCTCCACCCCTGATAATCACTAAAAACTTGGGTTCCTATACATTTGCCTGTTCTGATTTCATATGAATGAGACCATATAATGTTCGTATTTTTGTGATTGATTTATTTCACTGAACATAAGATTTTAGAGTTTTATCCATGTTGTGGGATGTAATAGGAATTCATTGCTCTTTTATGGCTGAGTACTACTCCACTGTAACAACTTGCGATATGCAGATGATATAGCCTTGCTTGCTGAAAGTGAAGAGGACTTAAAACATTTACTGATGTGTTACTGATCAAAGAGTATAGCCTTCTGTATGGATTACATCTCAATGTAAAGAAAACAAAAATCCTCACCACTTTACCAATAAACAACATTCTTACCAACGGAGAAAAGATTGACGTTGTCAAGGACTTCATTCTTCTGGGATCAACTATCAACACCCACGGAAGCAGCAGTCAAGAAATCAAATGACGTATTGCATTAGGCAAATCTGCTGCACAAGACCTTTTAAAGTGTTGAAGAGCAAAGATGTCTTATGCATGTGAAAGCTGGACAGTGAATAAGGAAGACCATAGAAGAATTGGTGCCTTTGAGTTATGGTGTTGGAGAAGAATATTGAAAGTGCCATGGGCTGCCAAACGAACCAATAGATCCGTTTTGGAAAAAGTGCAGCCAGAGTGCTCCTTGGAGGCCAAAATGGCCAAACTTCGTCTCTCATACTTTGGAGATATTGTCAGGAGGGAGCAGTCGCGGGAGAAGGATATCATGTTTGGTAAGGTGAAGAGTCAGAGAAAAAGAGGAAGACTCCCAATGAGATGGATTGGCCAAGTGGCAGCATCGATGGACTCAAGTGTGGCAACGGTAGTGAGGTTGACCCAGGATCGGGCAGTGTTTCGTTCTGCTGTATGGTCACTATGGGTTGGTACCGACTTGATGGCACCTGACAACAACAACTATTCCAATGTATACATTTACCACATTTTGTTTATGCATCTGTTGATAGGCACTTAGGTTGTTTCTACTTTTTTGGCTAATGAGTATTGGTGTGCATACGCCTTTTAGCATTGTTGCTGTCAGGTCTTTTGGGGAACTGAGGAGTGCAATTGCTTGGGCTTATGGTAGTTCTGTATTTAATTTTGGGGGGAAACTACTTCATATTCCCTGCAGCATTTTGTATTCCCACTAATAATGGATAAAGTTTCCAGTTTCTCCACATTCTTGTCAGTATTTGATACTTCCCCTTTTAAAAATCTTATTTATTCTAATGGGAAGGAGCCCTGGTAGCCTAGTGGATTACAAGCTGGGCTGCAAACGGCAAAACCAGCAGTTCAATTCTATCAGTTGTTCCATGGGAGAAAGATGAGGCTTTTATCTCCCATAAAGATTTACAGCCTTGGAAAGCCTATGCAAGGTTGCTGTGAGTGGGAATTGACTCCGTGGCACACCACCAGAACCACCACTATTATCCTAATGAGAGTGAAGTGATACCTATTGTAGTTTTGATTTGCATCTAATGGCTAGTGTTGTTGAACATTTGTTCTTGTGCTTGTTGGCTATTTGAATATCCTGTTTGATGTAATGTCTCTGCAGGTTTTACATGTGTTCTGACTGGGTTGTTTATCTTTGTAGAAGTTTCATATGTATTTTGAGTTGTTGTTGTTGTTGTTGTTGTTAAGTGTTGTTGAGTGGGTTGTGACTCATAGCGACCCTGTATAGGGTTTCCAAGAAGCGAATGGTGACTTTGAACTGCAAACCTTGAGGTTCAAATGCACTTTGTAGTTCAGTGATTATCCTCTAGTACCACACCAGGACTCCTTCTCGGGTACATGGCCTCATGATGATTTTCCCAATCTGTAGGTTGTCTCTTCACTTTTTCTTTTTTTAAGTTTTTATTGTGAATTGAGTGATGTTTACTTGGGAAAACATCGGGTTTTATACTCATCGTTTCATTGCAATGATTACAGTCTCCTCCGTGCATCATCATTCAACAGTATTTGCTTCTATTCTGTCTGTTTTGTGGGGGGGTTTTTTTGGAGGGGGATATATACAAAAACACTCAGGAATATATAACCATTTAAACAACCCAACATTGAACATTCTGCAAACCTGCCTCCTGGCTGCCAGCACACAGCCTCTCTCTTTCCATGAGTCTAGAGTCCTCAGCTGCTCTATCTCTCCATGTCCTGATCTCTGCCTTCATCTCTGGTGTCACTGCTTCTCTGGGTAGAGTCCCATATTCCATTTGTGCTCTTCTCCTTTGACGGTCCTAGGGTCCTCTGTTCCTGGACTATAAGAATAACTACTCCCCACTTTTTGTTACAAAACTTCTACCTTTACAGTTGTGACAGTCACAATTAGTCATGATAACAATTATTCACAATTGAATCATAAGAATCTTATCCCCATATCCTTTCTCCAGACCTGTCTAGACAAGATGCAAAGTATTCAGTGGGGATTCTACCTTCCCACAGACACTCTGAAACTAAACTCTCTCTTGAAAATTTATAATCCAGTCAGTTTCACATTTTTATAGCCCCCTCATTTTAGGTAGCCAACCAATGTCTTAAGTTGCCCGTCCATCTCTTCACTTTTTTGATGAGGTCATTTGATGAATAAAAGTATTTAATTTTATGAGGCCCCATTTATTTTGTCTTTTGTTGCTCAAGTTTTTGCATAAGAGCTGATAATCTGTCATTTAAAAACTAGGCTGTGCTGCCACATCTCTTTCCTTCTAAGAATTTTATGATTTTAGCTTTTTACATTAAGATCCTTGATCCATTATGAATTGGTTTTTTAATATGGTGTGAGGTATGGATCTTAATTAATTCTTCTGCATTTGGAAATCCAATTTTTACAGCACCATTTATTAAAGAAATGCTTGGTTCTTGTAAAATGGGAGTAAGCAGTAGTGTCAGGAACTGTCTCACTTCAGCGGTGACAACGTGAATAAGACAGCCTAACGCTGATCTCTGTGAGGTGGAGGTCAGGCATAGCTGCACTTTTTTATTCTCAGTTCTGACACCAGGTATCCCTCCCACAACAATGTCTACTTCTCTTCTGGGTTTGGGGATATGTTGTAATGGTCACCCAGAACTCACAGACCATGCTGACAGTTAAGTTGTGTATTAAGGCAGTCATAGGGTACAACTTAGGATCATAATCAATGGGTTCCAACTCAGGATCAGGATAAGTAAGCATGTCAGCAAAGTCTAATGTTTCAGTGCCCAACTGCTCTATCAGCTGCTTTCATCTGTGTAAGCTTCCTCTCAGCACCTCTCAGGACGAACTCTTCTCGGCACTGTCTTCACCATTGACTCTGCCGCAGGAACCCTCCTGGGCTTTTAGCCACTGGCTCTGCTGCTCGGTTACTATAATCAGTGTTAATATTCTTCCCCTATGTTGCACCTCTTTTGGCAAGTTCCTGGCCTCCTCTCTGTTTCTTTACTTTTCTTTCTCCCTCTTTCTGCTGCTTCTCTTTCTGCCTCTTCCTGTCTGAAAAACCTTTGTGAGGTTGACTCCTTCCAGTGGGTGGCTGGGGGTGGGAGGACAAATTGATCAGTCCTTTTCAGTAGATCACAGAAACTTTATTTGCGTAATATGTTATAGTCATTTAATTTGCAAAATTTATAGACTATAGTCACTGGACTGGTATTAGCCTTTTGAATATGTCAATCACATGGTTTACTATGCTGGGAATGATAAATTGAAGATGAATGGCATCACATTCATCATCAAAAGGAATATATCAAGATCTGTCTTGATACTATCCTACCAGCGCTGTCCATGGTAGGAAAATATCCATACGTTGGCAAGGAAGACCACTTAATACCACTATTAATCAAATTTACGAACCAACCACTAAAGCCAGTGATGATGAAATTTAATAATTCTACCAATTTCTTCAGTCTGAAATTGATCAAACATGCAATCAAGATGTATTGATAATTACTGGCGATTAGAATGCAAAGGTTGGAAGCAAAGAGGAAGGATCAGTAATTGGAAAATATGAACTTGGTGATAGAAACTATGCTAGAGATTGCATGATAGAATTTTGCAAGACCAATGACTCCTTCATTGCAAATACCTGTTTTAAACAACATAAAAAGGATGACTATACACACAGACCTCACCAGATGGAATACACAGAAATCAAATTGACTACATCTATAGAAAGAAATAGAGTCCTGGTGTGGTGCTGTGGGTTAATGCGCCAGACTCCAAAGCCATTTGAACTGCAAGGTTGGTGATT